AAATCCCTGTAGCGCCTCATGACCTGGCTGGGAGCACTCTGGGCTGTGTCATCGGTGCCCACATGAATAAGGAGCATAGGATAGTGGGCTGGAGGAGCTTTGGGATCTTCTCTGCAACATCCTGGATGTGGGCCCCCGGGAAGCAGCAGACTTCTCAGACTGAGGGGTTGGGGTGGCAGATTGCCCCCTTGGTCCCCCTCAGGATGGAGCCTCCCACAACAAACACCTTACGTTTTGTCTTGGGGAGAGCAGGGATGGTAGCTGCAGTTGAGCCTGTGTTGCCTATGGGAGCTGACAACCCAGCAGGCTCTGCTGGAGCAGCAAGACCTGTGTACCTGTTGCTAAGCTCCGGCGGGGGAGGGGCCTTGGTGCGGTGGGCTGTAGGGCCCTTGACCACCTTGGTCCATGCCCCTGAGTGGACAGAGTGGGAGGTCCTGGAGTCCTCCTTTGTCCTGGAGGGAGATGGTGGTCTACCTTCTGGCTCCCGGGGGAGAAGGGCCTGGCAGGAGGAGTCTATCTCCTGCTCACAGTCCCTGATGGCACACAGTCTCTGGACTGTGGCCTGGAGCTCCTCCAGCTGGCACATCAGAGACCCCAAAACGGAGCACACCTCACATGGGGAGGTGGCCATGCTCCCGGGCCCCAGAGCCTGAAAAAGGGACAGGCAGCCTGCGCAGCTGAGAGCCAGGGGCTCCGTCTGTGTGGAGCCCGGAACCATGGGCTCCGTCTGGGTGGCCATCTCTGAGGTGTCAGAGGGGGGCCGCAGAGCCCGAGGGGACCCTCAGGGTGCAGCCCGCGTCCATCTGTGTCATGCCTCTGGTAGGCTGGCTACGGCTGGGACTGTCTACCCTGTGGGATTCGCAGGCAGGGTCTTGAGCCCTCCCGTGCACCCTCCTGCACAAACTCCGCGCTAACTCTCGCGCCAACAGACAAGCGCGTCTGTTTGCGCAGCCTGTTCACGTGGCTCTGGTTGTGTGGCTCCCTGGGGGGCTGGGCGAAGTGGGGGCCTGGGCGGGGGCTTGACCCACCCAGCTCCATGCAGCCGCCTCCTCCCACTCAGTGAGGGGTTAACCCCCTCCCACCATGGGTCCCGCTTGCCTCTGGCTGTGCTGGGGGTCGGCAGGAGGCTCCAAGACTGCTGGGGGTGTCTGGGGGGCTTCGAGGGAGTGGCTGGCTTTCACTCGCGCATCTCTCACTGCTCCGGAGCCTAACTGGGGCTTTTTTTGCTGTTGGCAGGCCCTTTTAAACTGTGCGCATGTGCAGTGGGCCCGCTGTCAGGGAAAGCTGCTCTTGGGCAAGGGGGGACCCTGCCCGGGATTTGCGGGGCCGGAGGGAGACGGTGGTCTACCCTCTGGCTCCTGGGGGAGAAGGGCCTGGCAGTAGGAATCAGTCTCCTGCTCACAGTCCCTGATGGCGCCTAGTCTCTGAACTGTGGCCTGGAGCTCCTCCAGTCCCAGCCCTCAACCTTGCCCCATTCCCTCCCTCACTGTGTGGGGGCCTCAGTCTATCCATCTCCCCCCAACCCCATAGACTTACCTGTAGGCAGTTGGGGAAGCTGCTCTCCACTGCTGCCTGGAGCTGTATTCCTGGCCATGTGCATGTGTGCACATGTATACATGCATATAGTGCCCTCTGCACCCTGCTTTCCTCAGCCCCTTGCAGACTGGAACTCTGCCGACTTCAAGGAGAAACTCACAGTTTCCCATAGTGAATGGAAAACCTGGATCCCTGCACGATACTGCGAATCCAGGACAAATAATGTCCTGGAGTCATGAAGCCTGGGACTAGGACTTGAGGTTCCTATTTTGGGACTGTCCCACCCAATTAGGGATGGGTGGTCACCCTAGCTGGAATGTACCCTGACCCAGACTACTCTATCAGGCCACATTTATGAGAGGTGGGGGAGGAGAGCATAAACCCCTTAATTGCCAGGAGGAAGTAGAATCCACATCTTCCATTAGGTTATTGTATAAAACACAAGGTCTTCTTTCTCCTCCTCTTTTTCTTCCAGCTCTTCTTTAAAACAAAAAAGTGTTACCTGCTCAGAACCTAAAACAATGACTAAAGATATCTGTCCCCAGGAGAGGATTTTAGGGTACAGATCCGAAGTGGACAGTGGCACTTTCCTTCACCCCTGAGTCAGATCCCTAAGCTCAGGGAAGGGGTTAGATTTCAGACACACCCTGTACTCAGCATTTCCTGTTGGTGTGTTCTACATCACTCACTTCTTGGAGTGCAAGTTAGATCCTATTTGGAGCAGATGAACTCTCTCCATGCTCTGCTGAGGGAGATAAGCATAGCAGTGCCTTGCCTCTAACTTGTAGGTGCAAAATCTTTTCTCAGCTCTTCCTTGAAGAGGACCCATATACTGGAAAAATGAAAATCAAGCGTAAATGTCTGAAGAGACGGGAAAATCCATGTTTAAGTTCTGCATGCTGTTTTCTTTCTCTTTTTGTTTTCAGTCTGATATGAATTTTGCTAAGCCTGAACTTCTGATATTCCTGTTTGTATAGCTGTAATTTAAAACCACCTTTCCTTACAAATACAGCTACCCATTTTTACAGTAGTCTTAAATTCATTAACTTTCTAAATTGCAACCTTTTTTAGCAGTCAAGGGCCCATTGTTTTGTTAATCCACTAATGTCCTTTTGAAACCAATTTTAATCCATAGTTAAATCTGACTTGCATAGATGTAGTATTTTGTCAGTTTTATAATGTAGCCTTGAACAAATTGCTTAAGAAATTCATACTTCTACTATGCATACCTTTTAGCAGAAAAGGAGTAATACTGAATACTGTGCTATCATTCTTTTAAATATTTGATTTAAACTGATATATATATAAATATGGTATATTTGACTTACTGAAAAGTGTTAATTCCTCCCTCTCTTTCCCATCTTTCCTTAAAGAGCTAAACTGAAATATGCAAAGCTCAAAAAATACTTGAAAGAGATCTGTGAACGGCAAAAGAATGCTCTTCTGCGAAACCAGGAGCTTTTAAAAGAGTTTGATCATATTGAAGCTCATTTTAGGACCTTTCCAAGTTCAGAGAGACTTCAGAAATTGAAGGTAATATTTTGTTAAAATATTCTCCTGCAGCAATTATCATACTATAGGGGATGCCAGTTGGACTTTGGCAATGTGTTTACATCAAGATTTCAGATGGTGTTGAATGTTATTCTGAAATGTTTAATGTTTGTGTTCTTGGGAGTAGGGAAAATTGAAATGAGCTAACAAATGACCTTTTGGACTAAACAGCAGCCAGATGGGTGCCATGTGCCTTCATATCTTTTGGGAACAAGGGGAATTTAGGGCAAATAAGCACATAGCAGGATTGTGCCATTTATTTGCATTAATACCATGGTTTATTTTTACCAATGCAAATATAAGCTAAATAGATGTGGTTATTCCAAGGCTATTTAAGTTAGAATTAAAAGGAAACTTTGGGAAGGTTATGAATAGGCTCAATAGCTTATTAGTTAAGTCACTTACCAGCAGACCCAGGTTTTAGGCTTCCCTCACCCAAAGGGGGTTTAAAGCCTTTGTCTTCTGCTTCCTAGCAAAGTGCCCTAATAACTAGGCAATGGCTTTGTGTTGTCTCGAGTAGCCTCCACTCCTCTTATCGGAACTGGTGTATTGGGCAGCAAACGGGGGAGAATGTGTGGCACCATGAAGGAGTACAAGCCAGAGACTGTCTTGCTGAGTGAGATGGATGATGCTCCGGATTCTAACTTGGGCCCTTCTCCTAGTGGAACAGAAACTATTCCATTGACATTGATGTGTTTTACTCCATGGATATTAAATGCCAAGTGCAATGGGACAGCTTCCAGGGGAGGGCTGCGAGCAATTTGGGTAGCGTCTAGTTTGTTGCTTGCTGGCTGGAGCACTTGGGTGGGAAGCAGGAGACACAGGTTCAAACTCTGTATGAGGTGGGTTAAAAGATGAGAGGACTCTCTTGTCCTCCACTACTGCTTTACTTCTAGCAAGTGTGTGCACAGGGAGATCCTCTTTATTCAAGCTGTGTGCAAGTGCCAAAAAATGCAGTTGCACTGATATGTATGTGTTACTTAAGTGTGTGTGGGGGGGGGCGGGGGCGGGAGGGAGCGTAATTTAGAATTTAGCCTTTTCAGATTTGGGTTGCTGGAATGCTTTGCCAGGTCATGTGCTCTGTATAGGAATGGAAAGTTTATCTTAATCCCAAATTACCAGATTAAATGGAACCAGGAACTAGTAGAAGTTATAGCTCCAGGCATAACTGGCATGAACAACTTTGGTTTAAAAGGAAAAAAAATCAGGTGTGTTTTTGTTTCTTTGTCGAGCCACTGCTTCATTGCTGTTTCTAGAAGGTCTGGTTAGGCAAATGATTAACTTGTTGCTGAACTTACCAAATGCACTGTAACCAAAGTATCTCAGTTTTATGGTAGGAAACATTTTCTCAGTATGAAGGAGATCACAAAAGTGATTATGTAAGCCTGTTGTTTTTTTTATTTTTAACAAATTGTAGGCACTGAATGTGTAACATGCAACACAAAATTAGCTTTCTCTTTCTTGTTCCCCTGGCTAGTGACACTACACAATCAAGAGCTTTTTCTTGGGAATGGTCATTCTGTCTTACAAGAAAGTTCATTCTTATTTGATCCCATGAAACTCAGACCTTGCTATTCTTTTATAGAGGTAGATAAAGTTGCAGTTTGAAATATAGGCTGATATAGCAGTTGCGCCCCAAAGTTTGGTCATTTTGTTCAGCAGTATCTTATTACAGAAAGAGCTGCCGTACAGATCCTCTGGCATAAAATTGTTGGGTTTGCAAACTGTTTTCCTTTCCTTTTGATAAGAGCATGCTGGCTATGCTATGAACATTTAATTATGGTAGCTAGAAATTAAATTGTTAGTAAGTTGAAATTTCTAATCACCCTTCTGTTTGGGTCTTTTTCATGGTATTAGAATTTAAAATTAAAATAGCAACAAATTGTCTTATGCCTTACCTTTTAATAAAGCAATAACTAGCATACAACTATTTATTTACTTCTTTTTCTTCTGAATTGTTTGAAACAAATTGGATCAAAACTGTAAAAGAAGTTCACTGTACTTACGAGAGAGAACATTTTAAATGTCTGTTATAGAAAAGACTTATTTTTACAAAATGGCAACTTTGGGGCTGAAATACCTTCAGATTCTAAATAGGCCAGTAAAAGTAACAATTATATGCTGCTGAAGTTTTTGATTTTGTACTGTTGCTTGTACTTTGTCTCAATAATCACTAAGCAGCACCTTTTGAAAATATGAAATTCTAGTAACGGTCTTGGATTAAAAAAAATTGTGCTACTTTAAATATTTGATATATTAAAACGCACTCACAGAACACTTGTTAACTACATTTGGCTTTTTTAAAGAAAACTTCCCATTTTCTATGCGAGTTAGATGCATGTTTTGAAAAAATCTCTTTTGAAATACCCAAGTATTTTCTTAGAAAAACAATTTAGGTAGACGGCAGTTAATATCACATAACATTAACGTAGTGGTTACGTTTTAGTGGAATCATATCTAGTGTATGCTCTGTTATGATCAGTGGGGCATATTCAATTATGTCTCTAAATCAGCACCTGGAGCTGGTAACCTGTTTTTCTACCTTTAGTTATGCTACTGATTCTTCTACCTTTTTGAAATATAGCTTCCTTAAATGAAACAAAAGACTAACACTTTAAAATATAGCAGTGATTTTGCTGTTCAGGAACTAATTAATCTGATTCAAGTATGCCTTTACAAGATACTGGTTTTACAAACCAAAATTTAAAAAATGTTGGAAGGGGGAGGTAAGCTTCTTAAATAGGTTTCTGTGTACATGTTCTGGACCTGCAGTAAATGTCTTAGTTCTGAAAAATCAACGAACAGTTAGCAGTTTCCAGGGATGTCAGTAAACTTAGCTGAAAGAGCACAGGGTTCAGGAAGACTAAGATCCAGAGTTGGGAGCAAGAGGAGAGAAGTAAGAGGCCCATCTTTGTATGGGGGAAACAGTAGGCATAAATAAAAAGGAAGGGGAAAGTAAATGTGAAATTACAGGGAAGAATGAGAGAAGGTAACAAAGGGAAGCATAAAGAACAGAGTGAGGCAAAAAATAGGAAAATACTTTAAAATATTTTTTTAGGTCTCTTGCAGCTTCTCCAAAATCCTATGTGAGGCATGTGGGAGCCCCGCAGTTCATTTGCTTAGTGAGTCTTTATTCCTCTTAGTATTTGTTGCTGAAAATCAGAATAATTTTGAATTGGTAACCCAAGTCCATCTGGATTGCTCTGAAGGAATATGCCAGGAAAGCTTAAACTGTTATAAAGCATTGTTATCTTTTATCTTTTGCACCTGTGAACAGGTACAAAAGGCTCATCTGGAGTGTTTTATATACCCTATACAAATGGTTCAACTTGCTTCCACCTGACAAAGTTAGGATTATACCTTCTCCCACAGATTGTATTTGGCAGCTGGTGCAGCCTTTCATAGGTACAGTGACAGTAGGCAGGTTGCCAGCAGCCCACAGACCTATGGATTATAAGGGGCCTATTATCTGGAAGCAGGGGGAAAATGGCTCTTTTGCCATGGCATATTACTGTGGCCTTACACAGGGACATGAAAATTTGCATATGGGGTCAAATTTCTGATCTATCTAGCACTGCCCTGTCTCTGATTGGTTAGTGCCATCTTTTCAGAGTAAGGTGCAAACAACCACTTCTGGAAGCAGTAATGAGATGCACACCCCTACAGAATATTACTTCTTACCTGCTATGGTTTGAAGTGGGCTTGATCTAAAACTTAAGGGCTTTTATCCCTTTTGAAAGGTTTGTGTTTTTCCATGTCTGTTCAGTGTTTCTTGGTTATTATGGATATTTGTTACCTATCTGTCCAATCCTTTTTGGATCCTGCAAAACCCTTGGCTCTGATGCTAAAACGTGGCAGGGAGTGGGGAAAATTTCTTTTTTTTTTTTCTTTTCTTTTTCAGTTGGAAATGAAAAGCAACACATTTTATTCACTGTCCCTTTGTTTTTGCATTTCTAGAAAGGATGATCTGCCTCCTTGATGCTAGTTCTTGTAACAGTTCCAATCTGTTCATTGTTTAAGTGGAAGTTTTTCATGCCTCTAATAACTTTTATTGCCTGCTTTGGAACGCAGTTTATTTTTATATAATTTTTTTAGATGGTCTAATCAGAACTCTTCATGCTGATGAAATTTTTGTGAGCTAGTAATACTGTTGCACTTAAATTTCTTACTTTAAAGGTAATTTTCTTGGTGCCTGTTATTTATATTGTAGAATGAATAATTTTCAAGTCCTAGTGGCTGATCTACTTATATACTAAATTTTTCAGAGGTAGGAGGGTCTTTGGAGTAGATATAAAATGTGCCTGTAGGTGGTAATGATTTCCATTGTAATACCCCAGTGACCAAGGGAACGTCTTATGCCTGCATGGTCATTCTGATAAAGTGATCTCGTAGCTACATCTGGCTAGTGTCTAGTAATTTTTAAAGCCTGGTGCTTGTAGTAGCGTCTGTAAAACATCCTTTCCCTACCTATTTGCAGCTCTGTTAGCAGTGTCCTGTATTCCACCTATGCATTGCTACGGATGGTATCTTGTGGCACATGCTGGGTTTGTAGCGTTTTGCATAAAGTCGCTTATACTGTACTTCTGTAGAGCAGAACTGTAACAGTTCCGCCTGGCTGGTTGTATACACGTGTGGGAGGGGCAGAGAAGAGATGCACCAGTGTTTACAGATATTCTGCAGCTTGGTCCTTCATTCAACCTTGATAGCAATTAGTCCAGAGTTTGTGTTCATATCATAATGTGCATCAGGTTTTTATAGATTTATTTTATATTTTTAAAATGGGACCTATATGCCAGTTTAACCTACTCTGTATAGAAAGACATTGACCTGGGCCATTACTGTTTTATATGCTAATATGCATGTGAAGTTTTTCAGTATTCCTGTTCAGAATCGTATACAATTAATTAATTTTTCTGGATTGAAGCCATTTTAACTCAGCTTGTTGAGCAAAGCAGAGGTCATAAACCCTTCCTGCTAAGCTGAAAAAATGAAACCACTGTTTGATTTTCTGTTTGTTGCAGTTATCATTAAAATTTAGTCTGGCATATAGGTATGAAAGTGCAGATTAAGTTGTCAGAATGTTAATGTTTTTTAGTGGAGAAGAGAATACTTTTAGGAACTGTGTTTTCTTAAAACTATATACAGCGTATGAGGATTGTTGACAACATCTTTTAAATTGTATCCAGGTTTTGTGTGGATCTGCACTTTGTTCACTAACTGCTGAAATCATAGCCAAAATTTAAGCTGTTGAAAAAAATATCATTTAAGTGTTTGAGTTCTGAATGTAAAATTCTTGTGTAGCATATAGTCCTTTGTTCTTAAATAATACTGTTTCATATTTTATGAACAAGCCTCGTACGTGGAAAATAACGTTCCCTGTATGTAAGTTAGAAACTGAAGTACAGAGCTGTCAAAGTTAATTATTTTTCAGATTGATTTCTCATTGTGTATTACCTGATTCAGACTATCTAGTTAAGTACATCCATTCAGTACCAGTGTAATCTGTTTTTAAGGTTTACAATTACTCACAAAGTACTAATTATAGGTGCAGTATATGCTTAGCTTTCAAGCAGTAGTCTTTTTATGACTGTATTACATTTGGTCAATTAAACAATGTAGTGGAGGTGAAGACATTTTTATGCAGTTGTTTGTTAGTAACATTAGACCAAGTTGCTTTTTTCATGCTATGTTGCTCTTTATAGCATCTGCTCTATATTCTCTTCTTGGAATAGCTCAGTAGGCTGTAAGGTGACATGTATAAGAAATAAAAAGTCTAAAGGTTGCATTTGGTTGCCAAGTTATGTAGATATACTTCCAGATTATTTTGGCTGTAATAGCACATTACAAAAATACAGGAGTCAACAAGTTGCTATTACTATGCAGGCTCTTAAAATAAGTGAACAAATATAAATGAAAAGCCACAGAAAACAACCTACAAATCATGTGCTTTTGTTTTGCATGGAAATTAAAATAGATTATGAAGAAAAATGGGGTCTCAAGATGTTTTCATATGAGATGTTATAAATATTTTTGCTTTCCTCGGGTAAGATTATTTTCTAATTACCCAGTATTATTGTGACCTTGATTTCTGTGATTATCAAGAATATTGTATAGTATAATTGTCTGTTGCTTTTTGTGTATAGGTCTAACTTGTATAGTATATGTAAATATTTACATAATAGGTTTCTTTTTGTTTAGGTACAAAATGAAAAAGAAATTAACAGTACGCTGATACTTGACAAGAACAACATGTTGATAAAAGGTGACAAGAAAGAAGGTAACAATAAGCAGGTAATGGAGAATAGTAGAGACTATACATATATTGTTACTCTAAGAACACCTATGAGTTTTCTTACAAGACGGTAGGTACTGTTCAGTAAATGGGCTGTTGTAAAAAAAATGAACTGTGCAATTGTTGCTATAATATAAGACATGTTGCTTAAGCACTGTAGTGTAATTCTTTTAATTAATCTTCTTAATTTGATTGTTAAAGATACAAAAGACCCTGATGGAATGGTGGGGCGGGGGGGAAGTGTATATATTTGTCTATTTATATAGCATTTTTATATTCTATTATCAAACCAGTCTTGAGCTCTGAAAAAGTATTCTTAATGAAAGGTATACGCAGTGTGATAATTGATTCATAAGTTGTATTATAATTTTGTACATTTTGACCTTTTCTTAAAAGAAGCAAAAAGAGATTACATATCTAAGCAACAGACAAAAAGACTGACAACAAATACTTAAATATATTCTGCTATATATCTGCAGTAATGCAGGCTTCTAATCCCTCCTCCTATCTCCATATAAATGATACAGTTCAAGACCATAGCTGTTTTCTTCACTAAAAGCAGTAAAGCTCTTTTAGATGAAATGTCTAAAAACATCTTGTAATAACTTGGAGCATGCTGGCAAGAGTAGTCACTTGTGACTATGTGTGAAACCCCCTCAGCTAGTCGATATTGTAATAAGCAAAAATGGTAGCATCACTCCATTATTCAGAAAAGCCAACAGCATGCTTGTCCCTTAGGCTACAGCATTCATTAAGAAAAGCTTACTGGGCTGAAAGCTGGAAACAGATGATAACGGGATATGATTTTCATATTTAATGCATTCCTTGGAAGAGTATGTGTGCTGCAGATTGATAGAAGAATCAACTGCTACTTTACTAAAAGACTTTCTAGTTTGCCCTATAGCTACCGATGGAATCATTCAGCCAAGAAATTAACTTTTTCTCCTTTTACCTGCTTTATATATCTGCTAAGCAGGCTGCCTGGCTGCCAGTAAATGTTATTATGCAGTTAACTGTTTGGTATTTAAGACTCTTATCAGAAAAGAAACAGAGGCCACACTATTTTGTTTTTATAGTAGGAGGAAGGTTTTCATTTTTCTTTCTTCAGTGCATTAGCAGGCACTAATCTGAGTTTATAGGAAGTTTTCCCCCATAGATTAAAAAGTTAAAAACCTTGAATTTAGAGTATTCTTTAAACTGTAATATATAAAGCAATGAACCCCAGCAACCTTGACCTATATAAGCAGGCCTTCAGCAATGCATGAATTACTTTCTGTCTAGATGTATATGAAAAAGTATAAAGTTAGAGTTTGGAAATACTGAAATTTTATATTTTTAATTTTAAAAACATTTGGTTTAAAACAGTTTTCTTGGGAGCCACAGTTTCTAAGCTATAGAAAACAATTATGTTGCATTGCTGTTCTTGTTGCATAAATACCAGGAAAACACTATTGTTGTGATGCCTAAATACATGTTTTTATTGAAAAATATTGACACATTTTGTTTAATACTAGGAATTCTACTCTGCCGCCAAATGTGTCAACTTATCGTATACTAAAATTATAGCTTAAAATTGGGAATGATTTTTTTTTTCTTTTTGAAAAGCAAAGATTGCTCCTTTAAATTATATCGTGGACTGTGATGGCTAGAGAGAGATCTGAGTTTATCTCAGAGAGGATAGCTAGGGCCTATTAGTACAAATTAAAATAGACTATTGTAATTCTGATTTTTAAGGATTTTATAACTCAGCTCTTTTTAATTTGGCACAGTTTTTCAGACTAATTGTGCGTATCTTTCCTCTTCCTAAGTTTACTTGAAATCTTTATATAGCAGAATTAAACAGAACGTGAAATTCATTCTGCTGATGCAATATCATCAGCACCACTTAAGTCTTGCAGTGGGATGGTGCAACGGTTGCTGGTATATTGGCCACACTATCTTGCTCTATGGAAGGTGGCTGGCACAGAGGATGGTGCTGTTGGTTGGAGGATCTAGGGAATCTGCCTTTACATGTATCTCACAACCGTAAATACCCACGTAAGTTTTGCAGAAGGCTATGGAAACAATGTCAACTTACATGCTGAAGTGGCAGCCAGAGGGCAGCTACATTAGAGCATTGGACACTGACCCAAGATGAGAAATAAATATCCAAAAAAACCCAAAACAAAACTAATTTTACCTCTGCTGCATATGTTATGTGCGTTTATTGGATGATATGGCTTGCATCTCAGCTGTTGCCTTTTGGATCACCTAGAATGACAGTGAAAATACAGTGGTGTCAAAAGTGATAGCCTAATCCTACACTGCTTTTGATTTTCCATAAAGGTTTTGCCTGGTTGAGTATTACAGGATCATAGGTGGTATGGCATTATTTTTGTACAAAAAAATCAAAGAAGAGAAGGAACGCATTTGTTCAAGTCTTGCAAAAACTGTAAAGCAAGTTGTTGCAATTTAGACCAGCATCTCCAGTTGTGATAATGTCTAATTTTGTTTTAATCCAGTTGTATCTAATTTTAAATTCATTCCCTAAATTATGTGCACTTATTTCTTACCTGTTGTTTTCTTTATTTGAATAAAGTGTACCATTGGGATGTCATGGAGAAGTAAACATCACAGCTCACTGAATAATCTGGAAAATGCAGCAAGGAGGGATCACTCTATTAATTAATGTGTTCAAAAAGGCTTATTTAGAAGCTTAGGGATGATGAAGCAGGATACAAAAGGAAAGTGTATGAATGTCCTGTTTGTTTCACAGACTTACTTGAGAAAATGTACTTGGAAGTAGAGACTTAACAAATATTTTTAGGCAATATTTTCATGCACATTTGAGTAAAAGAAAAAACAAATCTCTTAACTAAAAACGGTGTTTTACAAATGTTACTTAATTTGCTGTTAATGACCCCAGCTCTTGACTAAATCCCAATCCCAGTCTAAATGGTGATGGAGTGTGGACTTCAGAGCTTAGTAAAACTGGAGTAAAGGCATAGGGAAGCCTTAATATATTAGAACTGCAGTAGCACTTTACCCTCAGAGGCTTCCATGTTACTTTCTGATGAGAAAAAACCAACTAATACATATTTCAGTGTTTTTATAACTATGTTGTCAACTAGCAATTTTTTCATAGTGTTTGTATTGGCATGATTATTTTCTTGATTTTTATTGTGGTTTTTTCCCCCCCCTCACTAAAAGGTGCTTATATGATGGAGGAGTGGAATGGGACTTGGTTCTGTCTTTGGAAGTGGGGGATAGCATCTGGCCCTCAACATATTTTGGTTTTTTTAGTAGACTAGCATGTGGCTATCTATGTCTTTATTAAGTCATAGGAAATGTATCTGTTTTATTTAATTTTTCCAATCTTAAGTATATCAGCTGCTTTCTTGATATGTCACACAACATATTTTTAGGGAATCCACACATTTCTTCCCTATCTAGTAGGGGTTTTTTTTGTTCTTGATAAAATAAAATAGACAAAATCCATTCCCTCGATCCCTATGATGATATGGGGAATCTGTCTGTGTACAGCTATGAATTTTGATTGATATTGGGGGCCTCTCTATGTATATCTCTGTCAGACTGCAAACTCCTTTTGAATGAGGGACTTATCACCTGCTTCTCTTATCTTTTATACCTTCATGTTGGACTGAAATTCCAAAAGCGGGGGTGCACACAAAGGTAAAAATAAAGGGTCATTAATCTTGATGGTCCTCTCATCACACAGAAGTCCCTAGGGTGAACAGTTGTCTGCTGCCCAGGGCAAGCCATTTTTTTTCAAGTCTGAACTCCAGGAGATAGCTAAACTGGAGATCACTTAGCAGGGGACATTGATCATTTGATAAGGCAGATCATGGGGTCAACTGACAAGGGGGACTGGAGGTTATTAAAAAGAGGATATCTCTGTTCTAGTCAGTCAGTGCAATCTGTACTGACTGTAGAGGTCAGTGGGAGAGGGAAAACTTGGGCAGGAAGAGAGAAGGGAACTGGCTGTTCAGGAAGGAGAGAGATTCCATGTTCCAAAAGAAAGGCCATGTGCTGGAGGGCATGGGAGGAGGTGGCTTTTGGGCTTAGACTTTGACCTATGCCCAAGGCTGCCTTGAGAGGGATGACAAGGTTGAGGAAGAGACAAGTGCTGGCAATATTTTATTTTGTCTAGATGTGTATATTTCTTTTGGTAGCTAAGGTGAAAAGTAATTGCTTGTGTAGCCCTTAACAATTCTGGCTCTCTCACTTTCAACTATCACCCATAACACTGGAGCTCTGGGAAAGGGTTTATTTGGTGGAAGGTCATAGGGCTTGTAGTTGTGGCTGTAGGGCTTAAGATGATTGGGCCACAGGCTCTTATTTCAATGAAGGAGGGGCAACAGAAAAGTTGTGAAAAAGTGTAACCAGAGAGGAACAAGAGACTGACTGGAGCCTGCTAGGACTCAAATGGCAGCAGGGGAAGTCTCAGCAGGGCTGTGGCATCCACACAAAGTACTTCTTATCTGTCTGTAAAATAAACAAGGAAAACTTTGTTTTGAATTTTCTTCCTTTGAATATTCCTTTTCAACAGCAGTAGCTCTGGCTTTCCTTTGCACATATTAGTTAGGTGCTTGATATTGTTTCCTAGCTTCCAGTCCATACATACAACATTTTAGTTTGTACTTAGCCTTATGTATTGAAAAACAGTTAATGTGCTCCCAACGTATCAGTATGTCTTACCCTTTTAAGCTCTTTTTGCTTTGAAAGGAGTGTTTTGCTCACAAAGCCCTGTTCTATGCCATTCAACTCTCAAAATATTTCCATAAGCCTGACATTTAATGTATAAGTTGGCTTGTCTTTGATCATTTCAGTTTGTTGTTTGACATGATGCGTCATTGATTGGGTTTTAGCTATCTGTCAGACCACTGAGGGTTCCTAGCAGAGAGTACTGTTGGGGTACCTGGCATTATGTTTGACTTGTTAAATATGCCAGTCAGAGCTCCCAGCAGCAAGTGCTGATACACTGTCAAAAGACAGATTA